CTTTATCTCTATTATATAAAACTTTTTGCACTTCTTGTCATGTTATGATACATCTTAATAGTAAGTGTTACCGGAGTTAAACCAAATTGCAGTAGAACATGAGATGTTTATAGAAGATGCGGACAACCAGTAATAAAACAAATTTAAATATATTAATTTAATTTTTTTTTTAGTTTTTCGTTCATTTATTAAATGTTAGTTATAAAAAATGAAAAAAAAATATTTTAATTTTCATTGTCCGACCGTCTGTACCCGTCTTGATTAATTTCAATCCCCGACCCGGATTGTGACATTGTTTATATATAATAAAAGGCGAAGCTTGAAGACATCCACATATTATATTTTTAATCAGTTCCGTTCACAACTACCTTTGATTCCTTTATTATTCTTTTGAAATGTATCAACTTCTTTATTCATATAATTTTTATGTTTTCATAAGTAGCTCACTTTTCATCTCTATCATTTGATATCATAACTAAAAGTCTAGACAACTACTATATGTGAGATAAAATTTGGTGACTTCTCTATCACTGTAATATTCATATATTTATTATTATTATTATACATTTTATTTTAAATTTCAGTTATTCAAGATCCTATTCTAGTTCAGTTTATTGGAGGTTCTTAATATTACCATTTTTTATTGATGATCACATCAGAAAAGATATGGGTGCAATTTTTTAAACATAAATCTGATGTGTTTAATATGTTTAAGAAGTAGAAAGTCATGGTTGAGAATGAGATAGGTTTGAAGTTGAGGTGTTTCAGATCAACTAATGATGGTGAATATCGTGATCAGAGATTCAAAATATATTGTGCTTAAGAAGGAATAAAGCATGAGTTCATTGTTCCAAGGACACTACAGCAAAATAGCGTTGTTGAGCCCGCAAATAGAATCATCACAAATCGTGCTAGGAGTATGAGATTGCATGCAGGCTTGCCAAAGCAGTTTTGCTCAGAAATAATTAGCACTGCACTTATCTGATAAATTGTGGTTCATTTGTACCTTTGAATGAAGGCTTGCCTGAAGAAGCTTGAAATGACAAAGAGGTAAATCTTTCTCACCTAAAAGTGTTTGGTTGTTTATCATATGATAATGTTGATACAGGATCTAAGCGTAAACTTGATTCAAAATATGTCAAGCACACTTTTATTATGTATGGCTCAGATGAATATGATTAAAAATTATGGGAATATAATAATCACAAATTCATTAAAGGCAGGAATGTCACTTTCAATGAAATAGAGATGTACAATAATAGAAATAGAACTCGAGATTATCCATCAGTTACTTCTGAAAATCATTTAAAATATGTTGAAATAGAAGACTCAAGTGATCAGAAAGATAGAAAAAGCCAAAGTGCTCAATCTGATGAAGCACAGAAAATTTCTCACATATGTTACTGAGATTAGAAGGTATAGTAGAGTCACACGATCCATACAAATGTATTCTCATTCTTTGTATTATTTATTGTTGACTAATAGTGGTGAACCATAGTGTTGTGATGAGGCCACTCAAGTTGAAAATTCAAATGAGAGAGTTTGTGATGAATGATGAGATGTAGTTAGTAAGGTCAAACCAGACATGGAGATTGACAGAACTACTAAACGACAAAAAGGAACTACATAACAAGTGGGTTTACAGATTAAAAGAAGAGTCAGATGGTAGCAAGCGCTACAAGACAAGACTTGCTGTGAAGGGATTTCAGCAAATAAAAAATGAGTATTCTTGAGTTCCAACAACATAGCCCGCTATCCCTTACAAAACTCACTCAAAAGGTTGTTTCACATAAGCAACATTAGTGAAAACCTATATAGGAAAGCATTGTTGCATTTATTTGTAGCATAAAACATCCTCAACTAATGGAAATAGAAAAATGAAGGCAAGCTGAACTAAAGCTTGGAGAATGGATTAGCCTCACTCATAATAGTATAAGATAAATGATTAATAAACAAGCAGTAAGAATGGCAACTCCCCAAAAAATATTAAGGAATCATGCATGTAAAATATTAAAGCACGACCAATATTGGAAAGATTTTGGTCTTTTAAGCAGCCACTCAATTTTGTTCAGCTGCATGACAACATGATAATTGATGGTAATGCCATTACCGACACATGAGCATAAATGAAATTGAATATATTCAAAAGCATTATCAGCAAAGGATTTTAATTTGAATGAAAAATTATACCTATATTTCTTGATAAAATTATTTTAAAATAAAGAGTCGTAATAAATTTAACAAGCAAACCCTAGTTTAATAATCAATGAAACAAATAAAATAATGAAAACTCGTATGTATAAAGACAGAAGTTGATCTCCATATATTTGAATGAATCGAGTCAAAATGTGCAATAGTATGAGAAAAACGTGATTGGGAAAAAGAATAAGAAAATGTTTGCCATATTACAAAGTTTCAGTCATATTTTGAAACAAAGGTTGGAATATAAGTGAAACCCCAAAGATGGTGAGGGTGACCTAAATAACAATGCCGCTGATAAGGAAAAATAGAGGAAAATGAAAGTAAGAATAGCATGAATGAGAAAATGAATGCCTCCAATTTCAACAACTCCACTAATCATTTTCCAAAGATCATAAATAATATATAAAAAAAGGATAAATGGTTATTGAATGGCTGTAAAATATGGTGAAATAAAGTATGGATCAAAGGTTTACAAGAAATTATGGCACGTAGAAAATAATTGTCTAATTTTAATGAAGAGGACGGATGGATAGATATTTTTTCATGATTTAAAAGAGCTAAAAATAATATCAAGAAGAGATGTGGTGGTAAGTGATGAAGATAATTATCGAATGCTTATCATATAAGAAGCAGCACCGATATCAAAACCAAGTACGTATCATAATAAGAAGCTACAGTCGAGCCAAAGGAGAAACATGGGATGCTGAAATGGTTTAGAGTGTTATTGAAGGCAAAAATAATCCTCTTGAAAAATAGAAACCGAACTTGGAAGAGTATCTATTTGAGTCATGTTGAACTGTGGGTGGATAACCAAAGTTATTCAAACAACAGTTGTATGGATGATTTGTTATTTGATAGTGCCATCAAGGTATGAAAGAATCTTTGGTCACAATCATGGCCAAAACCACAGCCGAGGATTACAAGTATCCCATCTATGAAAAAAATGATCAAACCTTGTTCAAGAGACAAGAGCAATATATCAAAAGAACAAGGTAGAGCAAACAACATAATGACCCAAATAACTCAAGAAAGAGAGCAATGGAGATGTTGGTATGGATGGATAAAGCTCGGAGAGAAACTAGGCAATGGCACAGTCATTTTGTTATTGCCTAGTTGTTGAGTTGATGATAAAGAGTTGGTACTGACCAAGTTTATCTCACTTTTCTTTCATTATGTTTTAGTGCTCCGTAATAGATTTTTCATCCCGTTATAAGGAGAATAATTTAGAGCAAAGAGTGAACATCTTAGAGACATTATGCCTTGAAATTTGGTGGAAGGGAGAAAAGCCCACATCCCTTTGGCAGTCTATTGAAATACGACAACAACTGCAAAAGCAGTTCGAAGCCATTAAGCCATTAAGTGACAATAACATATTCAAAAGTTTTCCATTTAATCCATCATGCAGCATTTATTAGGATAGGAGGCGAAGAGTCAAGACGAAAAAGTTTCTTATGAGATCCTATAAGAAAGTGGGGAATCATAGAGCGCAAAAGTGGTAGAAAAAGTAGCCTTAATGATATTTCACTCAACATATGAATGGCCATTAGCACCATATTAAATATATTGATATTATGATGATCCTTTGCCAAGCTCAAAGACAAGTCATCTTGATGGATAAGAGTAGGATGATGAAGGAAAGTAGCTCCAATGGCAAATAGAGTTAAGTGGCTCCAACAGCTACTTCTCCAAGCATTAACTACATCTGTCTAAACAATTAGATTAGAATAATTTAGCACAAACTTTATTGATTTATTCCAACTGAATGCTTTTTTTATAAAGAATGAGTAATTCTTCTTATTTAAACGAGTGGGTTCCAATATTTTGGGAGAGTGATTCTACCAGTAAAATGCCTTCGATTCTATTTCTTCTCCGTTTCAATTTCAAGGTTACCTCACGTATGTTATCACTCTGCTTCAAAGAAGAGCACCCTAGACCTTTTCACCTTTGGCACAATTCTTGAAGTTTAATATCGCAATATGTCTACCATCAATACAAGGAGACAAATCTGGTAATCACAAAATGCCAAAAATAGCACCAGTCCATTACTCCCCGAAAATAACTATTAGAATGGAGATGGCATGAGTGGGCTCTATTGAAACAACATAATGTCTCAATCACCTTTTAAATTCCAAGGCCATCTTTGGCCATGTCGATGAATAGAATGACTATAATATGTTTTTTATAATTTCAATGCCAATCCACCTACAATGTTCTTTGATATCTCTGAACAAGAACGAGGAAATTAGGGGGTTTCACACAGCCTCCTTCACCTAATTCCATATGAACAAGCCTCTAGTTTCTTGAATGTTAAATTGTAGGAGGTTTTTCCCATGCACAACAGCCCTCAAATAGGGCAGATTTATTTCTTTGGGCAATTTATATGAAATAAAAGTTTCAAATCTAGAGGATGCCAGTAATCTTTCAAACTCTATTATATTTCATTTACCAACCTTTAATTGCACATGCCGCATTAAATATTGCTCAAACAAAATCAATAATAAGTGTCAGCGTCAGCCACCTTAGTTGATAAAATCTTCAAAATTATTGCAAAGTTCATGGGATGGAATTTGTGCATTAACAATCAGCATTTTCAAAAAAGGGTCAGGAATAAATTATATATCTACTTTCCAAATTAATGCAACTTCGATATTTCTTGGCTGTACCAAACGCCCTTCTAAGGAAGCATGAATAAATTCGCCTTTAATGAACCAGATTATCCAATCTTACCTAAATCTGTCTTTAAACCCCTTATTAAAATTTAGCATGAACGCAACATCAAGACTCATAAAGGTGCTTACTTGAAGTTGAGGTACTGTCCAGCAGCGAAGAGGACGAAGCAATACCATGGAGGCCAAGAGATTCGAGCAACAGAGAGAAGGGACAAGATCTGCACGATCTTGAAAGCGTGGGAGACCTGTGCCATCCGATGCGAAGGGTCGACCCCCTTCCCGCATAGATTCACCCATGCTTGCGGGTAGTTCCAGAGAATGTAGTAGAAAGGGAACGGCGACACCGAACCTACCATTGCCGCCGCTGCCTCCACCGTCACTGCCATTCGCTTTCTTCTTTCCCTTCCAGGCTTGAATCACAGCACCCGTCGTCAGGCTAGCGTTAAAATGTATTCGCGCATTATCGGATTTAGGGTTCTAATTGGCGCGAGAATTGAGTTGGATGAGCTAATAAGTTAAGCTAAACTACTCGTTAATTCATGAGTGCTTTTCTTATATAAAATATATTTAAAATATATAGAAATTAAATATTACATTTATAAATTATTAAAAATATTTATAAATTAAAATTTTATACTTCATATCAACTTACTTCTTATTTTTTATTTTCTGATTGTTCATTATATTTGTCATTTTAATTTAGGATTAGCTTATTAATCTTATTTTTTCTCTTTTATAATTGATGGGACATCAATAAATTTTCATAATTTAGCATGAATCTTGAGGCATAATATGAATCTCAAAACATTTTATAAGCAAAAACATTTAAAATAAAATTAAAATTCTACGAAACTTCTATTTCAGTAACTTACAGTCAAATTTACCGGCTCGACGAGACAAACTCAATGGCACCGAATTAATCTAATTTGAGTCAAATCAAGCCCGAATCAAGCCTTAAATCTTTTTTAGAAGCTTTGAATATTTAATTGGAGTGTTGAATGGATTCCAAATCTAACTAGCATATAGTCAAATTAAACGTCTCGATGAGATGAATTCAACGAGCCCAAGATCAGACTATTCTTACATCATCAAGATATTTAAATGACAATAAAATGCCATCAATTAAGAGAATGTTACTTCTTCATGAAAGGGGAGCAAGAGATTTAGGGAGATTTGGACATGGAGAAGGAGTGGAATCCAAATGTCATTCTGGATTCAAAGTTCTAGTGATCACTTCTGATAGTAACCGCTCCCGAACATTATACAATGAACACTTTTGCATACGAATAGTGTACTTGGAGAGACTTTGTAACCCTTTCCCATCTACGGGACAATGGTCTATATTTGCATTCCCAAGCTTATAGTGAATCATTTTGACAGGGTTATGCATTGTAATTTTTTCCCTTTTCAATTCATGTAAAAAATTTGGTTTCCTTACCAATTATTTCTATTATATGTGTGTGTGTGTGCTAAATTTTTATACAACGTAAAAATGTTAAATGATTACTTTATCATCGTGAATCTTCGAACATACAACAATTTGGCAGCATCTGTGTGAAACATAATCTCACCACTGAAGAACTTACAAAGCCTGCAGAATGACCAATAAGCACAATACTTGTAATAACATGACATCCTGTTCTAACACCCACCACTCCATAGAGCAATCACAGAGCCAGGGACGTTAAGAATATGCTTCTTCCATCCAAGAAAGTTATTATTCTAATGTTGAAGGTGCCTCAAGAACATCCTTGAAAGACTGAGTGCACATAATGGATGAATCTCACCATGAGATTCTTTGGCTCCTATGTGAGGGTCGACAATCGATGCTCGCGCAACTAGAGAAGTTCTACTTATTGCAAGATTAACAACCTATAGAGAATTCCCCACTTGAGAATGCTCATACTGGCCCTCCTCTGTGTTATGATGAGAATACTCATTTAGCAAACCAAGATGACAATCTTTTTGATACAATGAATTTCACTCTTCCATCTATTGTAGCTAGGTCAATTGGTAATCCTTCAGCATTCATGGGAAACTTGGCTCAACTACACCTTATTAAAAGTCTCAATGATGTAATTCACATGAGTTGTGGCACGTGCTTTGAGAAGAGCTCCTTTTGAGGGATAAGGATCATTTCCCTGCTCGTTATAATTTTCAAGAGTCTTTGCCTTTGGCCAAGAAAGTCCTTTAGCACCCAATCCCAGTGGGTTTTAAGCTTTTGAATGTTGACTACTACAACGAGATATATGACCCCTATGAACAAGTTGACCATTATTGTGCTATCATGCACATCTAGTGGTTTTTTACGCACTTTTTTTGTCAAATGTTTCTTTCCATACTCAATGGTCAAGCTCACACGTGATTCTACGCCCTCATGAGAGGAACTCTCCACACCTTTAATGAACTCATCAAATTCTTTGTGATGTGGTTTGCAGTGAACAGAAGGATTATTAAAGATTGTCTTATATTTTATAAATTGGTTATAATGAGAGAGAATCAGTTGAGGAATACTTTCGAACGATTTTTAGTGAAGCTCACCAAATTCCAAGGGTGGATCCCGAATTATGTGAGGAGTTTTTCTTGGAGGGCTTTGCCTAGGACATCTCTACTCATCGTTAATAATGGAGACAATTTACTCTTACGTTCATTTCGTTTACCATGTCAAAACATGAATCATTGTAGAAGAGTTCATCAATGCACACAATGAATAGTTTGAGCAATTTGGGGGCAAGCATTAGAGTAACCCATATAATACATATCACGCCTCACAATGAAAAAAGTACAAACAACGGGGGAACCTAATCTCCCTTCTCAGCCTTTGAACCAACGCTGCGAGTCTCGACCAAAGGAGTATACACCACTTAGCACAACACTTATTAATGTCTTAATGGCCATTTTAGATCAAGAGATCTTTCAGTAGCCTCATCCTTTGAAGTCAAACTAAAAAAATTAAGAATAATAATGTCACTTCCCTGGAGTCGTAGTCACACATTCAAAGCACGTAATAAACTCAAAGAGATTTTGAAAGGTTAATTTGTTAAGGGTGCTTTGGTCGATTCCTGCAAAATAAACATGTCTATATAGATTATGCTCCCACTAAGGGGTACCCAACACAAAAGAAGTGGCAAGGGAATTGTCAAATTTTTGGCAAATTTAAACAATTACTAGAGGCCCTCTACTATATAATCAAGTTCTCATCAACTCGCCGAAAGAACCATTGCAAAAGAAACTGTAAATTAAGCTCATTACTTTTGATGATTCTGACCTAGAGGGAATTCAACTCCCTCTTCAAGACTCTCTCATCATCAGCACAAGAATTGGATAACCTTATTATTGGGTGAAGAGGATTTTGATTGACAATGTCAGATTTGTTAATGTCTTATTTTACTCAATCTTCCTCATTTTGTGGTTGTTTGTGGACAAACTTCAGCCGACATCAGGGCCATTATATGGATTTTATAATCAGCTGATAAAAGCAAGGAATAACCAGTATCCCTATCATATAGTATAATTTTGTAGATAAATGCTCACTCCATCTAATTCATCATTATCAAATCAGAATTGGTTTACAGTGACGTCTTCAGAAGACGTCTCCAATCCATCTTCAACATTGCCACTTTTGTGCTACACCACAACCTCAAGTTCCCAATCCTAATGGAGATCAATGTTATACATTGGGATCAACTGATAGCATAATCATGCTACCTCAGGCAAGCCCAACCATGCTCATCAATGATGATTAAAATAAAAAACTTCACGTTCCACTCTCGAATGAGCATCCCTCATGAATGTTGTAGCTCGATTCCCTACTCTTTGATGAGCAAATATCAGAGTATGTATATCTTCGCAAAAGAAACCTAGTTATCTTTGCCTGGATTCTAATTGATATGCTTGAAGTTGACCTTGTGTTGACCTCACTTTTGGTTGAGGTCTAG